ACACACCAGCTCGCTTTATAGCGCCGTAATTTTCCTAGTAGAGCTTTACATTGAGGTCTGCAAACCCCAAACTATGACGTGCCTAATTTGCAGAGAAATTCTAATTCATCCTAAACAAACACTAAAACTCAGAACAGCACACTGAAACCTAGGTAGGAAAAGTTTGTTTTCCAAATTCCAAATAAAAATATACTTTTTATTATATAAAAATATACTAAGGAAGTCATTGCAGTAGGTTCTTTCCATTTAAACACAGACACACTTCCTCAACTTCACCCACTCCCCCCAAATTCTTCTCATCACAATATAGAAGAAAAAATGGAAGGACATTTTCAATGAAATTTAAATACCTGCAATTCAAAGTGTTCAACGTTAATGCTAACCTTAAAATTAAGAGATTGTGCAACTGCTGCCAAATTTCACAGCTTTTGTTTTCAACATCTTTAACTCCTGTACAATTTCTTCATTTACTTCATCTGCATTTATTTATGAAGACATCAGAGTTTTAATTTCTCTCTCTGGTTTGATAAGTTGATGGAGCTGCTCACACTACTCGCTATAAACACCTCCAACATGATGCCCAGCGTGGCACTCTGAAACTTTGGGTTTACTCACTAAATATGCAGACAATTCCAATTGCCAGTCGATTGTTGGATTTTAGTACTGTGCAAATCAAATGTAGGTCATGCCCCAAACAGAGATTTTTGGATTCTGGTTAATGGATGTCTTCCACTAGTGCCTAAAAGCAAAGTTTTTGAAGACAAGAATATCAAATCAGTATTTTCCCAATCTCTTTGTAGTGAAAAATCACAATGAAAATAACAGGCCTTGGAAAATAAAAGGCATAGCATGATGGAACATACACACAAATTCCTGCACAAGCAGTTAGGTCTGGAAACCTGCTTCAGATAAAAAGAATTAAAGGACAAGAGTCAGCGCTTTCATCTGAAAAGATATTTATTTTGAGAACTTCAACTTGCACATTGTACAAAAAATTGACAAATTCAGCAAAAAAACCCTATAAAACGATTCTTTTTTTTCCCCCTAACATATTAACATTATAATTTTTCAAAGGGTAAGAGTTAAGAAAACCAAAAAAAAAAATAGGCACATTTGTTCCAGTCTGTCTGCAGTAAAGTGTGATTAAAAACATCCCTGTCTTGTTGAGGTATTAAACTGCAAACTTTGGTAATGTTAGAAAAAGACAACCCAGTCACAAAAGTAAGCCTTCTCGGCGTCATGCACAATTAATTAAATTGTACAATTGAATTTAAAAAGTCAGAATCGGTTATTCTCCATTTCCCGGTAGAAATGCAGCAAAACAAAGGGGGGGAAAAAAAGGTCATGTTACCATAATACACCTACCATTAGGAGGAACCTGAAAGTTTGCAAATCCCCACTAGTCACATACAGCTACAGTGTTATATTGAACCCCAAGAACAGAATCCGGTTGGCAAGTTTAAACAATTCAGTGCTTATGAAAAAGAGATACACGGTGATTCAGAGCCCAGTCTTTCAGAAAAGGACAAAAGGCACTTAAGAATGGCTTTAGTATATTCCACAATGGCATTTCTGGATAGAAGACAGCACCTGGCTGAACAAATCGTTCCCTCATACGAAAGAAGTCCAACTGAGGTAGTACTTCATATTGCTCCAACTACTTGGCTATATGCAAGCAGTTTGGCTTTTTTTTTTTTCTTCTTGATATAGAAAATTAGCAGGAAATGGCTTTTGATAGTTTGTCAAATGTATAAAAAAAAAAAACAGTTCTTACAAAAAATAGCAAAAGACCCACTTGTGGTAAAAAAAAGATCATAAGCCAGGAACCATCTTGTACAAATCCAGCATCAAAATGCTGCCAAGGTGATGCCTAAGTCTACCTTTATGGCCAAATCCCCAAACATCGAAGATTGTTCTAGCAACCAAGCCATTTTTTGGAATTACAAAAAATTATATATATAAAGAAAAAGAGGGGGCACAGGGGGCATTCCGAGAACTTTCACAATCATTAGCAGCCTTACCGGAAGCACTTTGTAAGTCTGTCAAAAAAAAAAAATCATTCTGTGCTGATGAGTGGCAGTTTGGGGGGGGGGATGCGAAGTTCAACATTTAGAACGAAAACAAAACCCACAAACATACAAAAGGATATTCCTTGAAGTTTATAGTTTTTTTAAAAACAAGGAAGACTTTAAACTTTTTAGGGGTCTGGGAGAACACAGACTACTTTTTTTCTTTTAAATTAAGCCCATTGAAAACCCATTAATAAGTTTGAACAAAAGAAAATTAGAAGTGCTTTACAGAATCACCGTCCATTGCCATATCCAGGAAAGAGCTGAGTTAGAATCGTCTGCAGCGTTTCGTTCACTTGCATGGTGTAGTTTTTGCCAAGATCGTAGCGGCAGGCCGGACAGCTGTACACGTCAGCTTTGAAGGATCTATCCAAACAATCCTGGTGAAGGACAAAAAGAAATTGGTTAAGAAAGAGAACCGTGCAGTTTAGTTTATTCTACAAAGCTCCCACTGGAGAGAATGAGATTCCTTTTATATCCTCGATCACCCAGGTATTGGCAAGAGCTGAGAAAGGCCGAGAGCGACACAAGGCTGGCGGCAGCTGGAGAGAAAACTTCCTTCGGGACGTGCCGTGGCACGGGCACTTCACCGGAGCGCACCCGTCACGGACACGGTATTTAGGTATACGGTAGCGAGACTTCATTCCATTGAGTTTCTAAAGATGAGGAATTCCCTTGCAGCTCTTAAAAACTGTTGGAGCTTCTGCCAAACCACCTCCCATCGTTCTTCAAAACCAACCCCCATACAGCTCGGGAACGCTGTCGAATCCACCAGTGTCACCTGGCAGCGTTACTGGGCCCGCAGAGCGGCTCTCGTCGCCTTTTAACAGCATTGGAGATTCCACAGTAGCGGAACTTTCTTAAAGCGCAGCCTTTTCTACGCCAAAGAACTTCCATCAAATCTTGAAGTTTTAAAACAACAGAATCCTGCCTCCTGCTAGAACACCAATTACTGGCAAAAAGAAAAAAAATTAATCCCAAACCTACAAACCCCACCTCTGACCACAAACCCCGTCAGCTGGAGGCTTGGCTGAACAGAGCTCGGCAGAGGAGTCGCGTCCATCGCTCACCTTGCACACGTTGTGTTGGCACACAGTTGTGACGGGCCGAAACACCACCTCCTGACAGCAAATACACAGGAAGGCCTCTTCAACTTTATTTAGAAATTTCTGTAAAGAGAACATTTGAATGAAATCATTGCTGCTGCCCTCTGAAAGATACACCCCCAAAAACCCCCAGTAAAATGCAAGGGATCACTTTAGTCACAGAAAGTTTTCCTATAAAGCTCAACAGGGGAAAAAAATAGTTACATTAAACAAGTTCTTGTCCTTCTTACTGACCTCAAATCCAGTGCTTTAAAGTTAGGCTGTGGATGTCTACACTAGAAAACCACTACAGCTCTGAGGCTGTTTCTTTAATGCAGCCAAGAGGTTTGTGTCCAGGGGTAGTACCACGGTCAGTTGTCGCTTTAGTACTGGGAGGGGGGAGCATGACATACCGGTCCATCTTTGAGAGCTTCTAGTACTTCATTCCACAGTTTTTCATTGGCTTCATCACTTTTTATAAGAGATTTTTGCTGAGATGTCAGCTTGTATGGCTCAACTTTAGTTTTCTTCGGAGTCCCTGCAGGAGAGGTAACGAGTTTTTCCTCTCCACCTGAAAGCAAACACAACAACTTTTTAAACAAACAAAAAGCAACCAGAACAGAGTAACTAGGTAAAATGCACACAAACCCACAAGGTTTTCTATATCCACTTGCCTACTCCACAAACCTGATGATTTCCTTTTCCTCTTCCCTTTCCCTGGGGTGTCAAACTCATCATCTCCATTATTTTCTTTTTCCTTATCTTTGTTTGCAACAGCTTCCAAATACCCTTCAGGATACTACAGGAAAACACAAAACAAAAAGCATCCAGTGTAAACCCACCGGCTCAGTCACAGCTACTGCAGGTCGGAAGAAAGACCTCTGGAAGACCTCTCCAGGGGTTCTCTGCTCTACCCAGCAGATCCCTGCTCTTGCAAAGGGCTTGTTCAGACTATAGGATCCCATGCAAGAAAGTGAGTTTCGTCCCTTCAGCCTCTTGATGCAAGAGGACAACGAACAACCACCTACAAGACTGAAAGCACCCGTGTCCCCCTCTCTAAGGGGGCTGTCTTGATTCTCACGCAAGGTGAAGCAGATCATCCTGCTTTGCCCAGGGGAACCACAATGGTGCTCCAAAAGCATACCTGCATCGTGAGGCCAAGCTTTTTCATCCTGTCTTTTCCTTCTTTGGTCCAAGGAGCAGGTTCTTCATCATCCCTCCTAAGTAAGTAACGCCACACTAAAAATCCAGACTTCCCTGTCTCGGGCCAGTATTTCACAACCTAGAAGAGCCAGGTAGCAAGTCCATCACATGCTATAAAAACCAAATTAGCTTTCCCTCATTCAACAGGCAAATCAAATCCTTCTTACCTTATATATTCCATCGTATCTGTTCCCTTCTACAGGAGCGTATTTACTATGTTTGCCTCCTTTTACATTCCTCACCACTCGCACTGGCTTCCCAGCTCGCCAGTCCTTGGCTTCAGCTCCGTTTTTGTCGTTGATGGGGGCACTGCAGTTCAGAGCCAGAGCTCTGTAAGAGAAAGTCCAGTCAACTTGGTGTATTGACCAGGCAGAACTCGTCAGAATCAGAGGAAGGATAGAGCAAAGCAAAGCTTGCACGGTACCACCAGCTACTAAGAAGTAATAAATTTAACTACACTGCTTTACTCAGAGCAACACATTGATACAGGGAGTACAATACCAGGAGCAGCAGCGTGCTGGCGTTGTGCTGAACCACAGCAATGGCTACAGAAACCTGGAAGCTCCTGTCTCTTTGCAGATCCAGAAGGAGCCCCTGGAGGACAGAGCATGTAGCCAGGCTTTGCTGTTTCCTTGTTTTAAACAATAACACTTCCAAGTATCTGGTGTAACGCTGAGAACTCTGGGAGACAGCAACTGAGCCTCCTGACTGGGGCCCACATTTTAAATACGCTGATTATTCATCACATTACCCTAAGGTAATTGCAGGGACCACCTCCTCCACTTCAGTCCTTATTTGTAAGTGCAGCAGTTCAGAATTACAAATGATCTGGTCTCCCAAGGTGACCAGCAGCTGCAAAGGTCTTCAGGAGAGAGCATGAAAACTTCTGCACTAACTCACTACTCTGATCCTGAAGTTTCAATCAATATTAAACATGACACTAATACCGTTTCATTCCTAGTGCACTGAAGCAGCACGTCCATTGTGCAGCTGATCTGCAGCCTGTCGCACCGTCAGAAACGACTTTTGACAGTTTATCCCCTTCGCCAGCCTCTTTTGACACAAACAGGACAACTTTCCACATCGCCAGCCGCTACGGTCAGGACCCGAGCGCGCACGGTGCTGACCTGTTCATGTTGGTGAGTTTTTGATCACAAGACTGTTCCGCTGTGCGTTTGTTTCCAGAAAGATCCCGCCCTCCGCTCCCTGTATATGTGAAGGAATTTCCATGATCCTGAAACGTACATGGATGGTTTCGACACATTCACAAGAGTAATTCCATAAAAGCAGAAGGCTCTTCTCATCAAGTAGCTTTACTACAGCATCCTCCAAAAAAGGAAAGACGCTCCCTCCGTTTAAGCTCCCAGACTCAGTCTATGGCCCGTCCCTTATGCTGCCACAAGAGTCAGGGTGACAACCGTCGTGTGACAAGACACCTTGACGGCGCTGAGCCCCCTGCCCAGCACCCGCACAGGGTCAGCTTGGAAGCGCAGGGCTACGTTCCAGGTAAGGACGGTGTAACTTGTCCCTAGTGCTTACACTGCTACACGACCTCACCATCAGCATCAGTGCTCCTAACGGCTACCGAGGCTCAGAACTCCTGTAAACCAGGTAGCCACAAGAGGCAACTCGGCCTGAAGAGGTGCAGGCCAGTAACGCACCGGTCACCTGCACGCAGGATGAGCGGTAGAGCCTGGTGCAGCCTCCTAAGGGTCAGGTGTGGCTGGCAGGACCAAACGGTATATTCAGAAGCAGGACTTGCGTCCCTGGTTTTGTTCTGAACACAGGAAGATCTGGCAGCTCACACAGCGAGAGCGTTCAGACTGTGGATGCGATGGAGACCCTGAAAACGCAGCTAAGGATTCTTGGATTAAAAGCTGACGTGGACATTAAACTGGAGATGATCCTGTTTCTCAGGCTGGCACACACTACTCAGCTGTAGTTTTCCTTTGCCTAGTTTTCTCCTGAAGAACCTAAGTATTGTCCAGATGGGGAAAGTGGCTATAGGGTGTAAAAGACAATCAAGGCCAAGTCTTTGTTTTAACGCCAATGTTAGTTTGGTTCTCAGACATAAATAATCAAGATTCACTTACTATGTCATCTTCGTAGCCTCCTGCCAGAACCAAGGAGTAGGCGCCGTCGTTACTCCTGCCATGGATACCCGCTACGTGGGGCCTGTGAACGCCCGATTCGCTCACCTAAAAAAACCAACCACCAACTCTGTTAGGCAGCTGCCATCACCAGGCTACAAACAATATGGCTGCCCGTTGGTCTTGGAGCTAAATTAACTCATCGGACTATTTCAGATTGGTTTTGCATATATTACAGGGTGAAACTGTGTTCTCACCACTACCCTCCAAAAAGCTCCAGGCAGAGGAAAGAAAAATTATTTAAAAAAATAAGCCGTTGAATATTTCAGTAAATTGAACACACGCATATTTTTTGTGATGTAAGTTTAGAAATTTGGATCTTTCTCCCTGAGATTGCTTATTAAAAAGCTCCAGGAATTTTAGAATAATGCAGGTGTTAAAATTCAATGTTTGCGTAAGGGGATTGGCTTTGAAAGGCTCACAATAGCCACCTTCACCTAACGCTTGGAACCAGGATCTGGACAGGGCAGTGCTTTTTCTTCCCCAACTTTCTAACAGGATGAGAAAATCTTCTGTTTAATCTATCTCAATACCTGAGAGACACCCTTACCAGGAGAACAAGTGGGAGATACTATACATCTCCAGGACAAACTACTGGAAACAAATACGTTTCGTTTCGGGTTTTTGAGTTACCAAAAAAAAAAAAAAACAACCCAAAAAAACCCCCCACACAACACCAACCCCACACTAAAGAAAAAAAACCACTTGAACTGCCTGGACAATGCAGCATTAGTTATGGAACACTTGGTCTAGACAAAGCCAGAATTCTTTCCTTTCTGCACTTACATATCCAGTGACATACATCCCAAGATTAACTGTTTCAGGTTTCTCCGAAGAGCTGGATCGTTCCCATTTTTCCCTACAGTGGCTCAGGCCAAGATTCGGCTGCATACCTGAACTCTGAACTTCCACATGGTGCCAACCGGAATCCCAGGAATTGGTCCATAGTGGTTTGAGGGGACAATGGTACATTCTTTTGTGCGACCAACACACGCCATGCCCTGTTTCAAAGAGCAAGACCAATCAGCCAAGAATTACAAGGAACTAACACACACTATTCTTCAAAACAGACCAGCTTTGGAACTGACCTTGCCCCAGTCTCTCCGTGAGGATGAATTAGCAGATGCCATCTTTTGTTTCTTCTTACTTTCTTTGAGTTTTTCTCCTGCTAAAACCACCTCACTTGCATCATTTCGACATTCAGGGCAATACCTAAAGTCAGCAGTCAATAAAAATTAACTAGTAGCAAAACCTTAAATCAAAAGGGAATTTCCTCAAAACATACTGAGTTATGTTCCAATCTCCCCCTGTGAAACTAGACAGAACGCTACAACAACTCTCCCTACTAGGATCAGACCTGTACTAGCCAGCATCCCTGCACACCCTCCTCCGCTGTTGGGCAGATCACAGAATCACGGGTACGAGAGAAATCATCGTACAAACTGCTGCAACAGCACACGAGGGAATAAGCCAGTGTATTTCACTGTCTGTATGTACATAGATACGTGTCCTTCACCACCTGTATCTACCACCGTATGCATTTCATACGCAAACCAGTATGTATCACCAGCCTGACGTGGTGTGGGGCCTGGGGGCTACCTGTAAGCGACCCATAAAAACCATTACACAAGTCAAGGCTCCTGGCACCAGGTTTGCATTTGGTTTAGAGGTCGCGCCACTTCTCTTTGAATAGGCACATAGATCCCAAAACTAGGAAAAGTACTTTGAAAGCCGCTGCTCAAAACCTGCTCTCGCTAAAGCGGTGCTCATGCCAAAGCTACCAAAAAAGCAGAAACCACGCAGACATCTCTTCACCTTGTACAGTCACAACATTGCCACCTAAGGGCAGCTGGAAGCCCTAGACCTCACTTTCTGCTCCCAATGAGATGGTAGTTGTGATATCACACACACATACTTGGAACTTACCAATCCTCATCATCTGGTATACTACTAAGGGGAGGGTTGAGGCAGTAGATGTGGAAAGCCATATCACACTCATCACACATTAGCTGTTTATCTGGATCTTGTTTACCTCCACAGATATGGCAAGCACAAATTCTGCAGGTCTTGTTCGGGTTGTCTTTACAAGCTTTACACACAGGTCCATTTTGTCCTGACAGCAAAAAGAAACCACAGTCTACTTCTGACTCCAGAAAGTGCCAAGATACACTGGAAATGGTCAACGGAGTCACAGCTACAAGTGTCTTGGAACCCTTAGACCTTGATCCTCACAATCAGATTATCCCAAGGTAAGACTGAGACATGCAGGAACTACACAACACTCACGTTTTAATGGACTGGCGCTAATTGGACAAGCACTGCCTGGCTCTTCGATTTTATAAATTTCATCCACTAACGTAATTCTGCAGTCGTTCAAGGAATCACCAGCATCCCTGTAAAGAAAAGTTGATAAAAGTCAGAAAGATCAGAGTTTGAGAGTATCATACAGCATGAATTCACAGCTGTGCATTACAGTGGTAATGCAGACTGGTCTGGTATTAGTCCAGTATCACAAGAAACCTGCTATAGCATCACAAGATCTGGGACAGTGGATGACAGCATCACCACGGATCAAATCATTTTCCTGCGACTGAAGTGTACCCTGTCTCATCTCAATGAGAATCCAGGCACTTGCAGCATTCCAGTCATCATTAGTGACCGTTCTCCCCCAAAAATACATTTCAGACTAACTCTTCTCATATTTTATAGTTAAAGTCACAATCACTACGGTGAGAAGAAAAGGGAGGAGTCGTCTGGCCTGTGAAACTTGTCTAAAACCTAAAAAAAAGAAGATACTTTTTCCCCCCTGAAGTTGAAGCCCCTTATATAACCTCGTTTTGTCCTTTAGGAGAGAATTGGAGTAATTTATCACCACCTCTGTAAAGTGCGGGTTCAATCTGCATTACAATATCTAGCCCAAAACATTGCCCTGAAGCGTTTGTAAAACATGACGGGCAGTACCTAGTAAACAATTCTTTGCCTCTTAGCAAACGTGGGGCTTCACACCCTCCCAGCATCACGTGAATCCACAGATCAGCATCCTTAAAACATCCAGTTCCTCCAGGGGAAGGTAATCAAAGGCACAGTATGATGCAGTCAGTCACCCAAAAAGGACAATCCAGCTTCTCATCTCCCCCCAGCACTTCTGTCGCATCAGGTTTTTTTTCGGCAGAGTCACTCAGACCCCATGAAGGTTTAAACAGAATTGGGGAATTCAGTTTATTCCACGTTAGGAATTTCCTTACCCCAGTAATATCTTCGCATTTATCTCCTTGATCATTTTTGTTTCCCTTTTTTGCAGAATCTCCGCATCGTACCAAAACCCTCTCTCTTTTGGCTCGTCGGGGTTATAGTTGACCATCACCACCTGTCCTACTTCTAGCTGGTGCCACTTCAAAATAGTCCGTGCACGAGCCCGTACATCATTCGAACTCAATTCTACAACTCCATTCTCTGGATAACTTGAAGTAGAAGGGAGGCACAGAGGGACAGAGAAGAACAATCAGATTCAAAACTGTAGTTTTTATAAGCGATAGATTTTTATCCAACAGGCCGGTTTAGGAACCGGTGCCACACAACATACAAAAACACCATCAAGAATAAAATCTCCTCCCACGCTGAGGCAGCCAGAATGGGACAGTCTAACTTTGCGGCTATTGTATCCCATTTACAACTTGGATAACAGCATTTCACATTTCCAAAAACATGATTCCTGCCCCCGGAATTCCAGCGGGACAAACTCACAGTTAACAGGGCTCAATAACGCAATTACTGAGTCAGCCCAGTTCCGGTTCACCTTGCGGAGCTCTACAATCAAGTTTCCCGCCCGCATCACGACCCAAATGACTTTATTAGCCAAGAAGGTAACACCACTCACTCTTCATATTTCACATGATATATTACATCTTCCTCAGGAATGGTCGTCGGCTGATGAGGATCTGTGCAACTGTCGGCCGACTCACTTGTAGGTTTTTTTCTGGTTACATTTACAACCTGGGCTTCAAACCACGCTCCCATATTCATATCTCGAGCGTCGACCAAGTCATTGATCTACACAAAGCAAAGGATACAGCTCACCAAAATGGATTTTCAAATTCAGCATTAATCACCAAGTCTACTGGAAGATTTAACCACCTCAAGAACTTCACCATTATCAAGACATTTAACAGATCACCTTAAAAACTAAGATTTCCTTTGCCTTCCCGCTTCCATTGTGCACCCCTACGGTCTTCTCAAGAGGAACCTCTAAGGCTAAAAATCCATTCTGCACCTACATGTGTGCCAACAGCTTTCTTATCTAGTACAAACCCTTCTTAGTTAGTTGACAACAGACTTTCAGAACTGTCTTGCTCATAGTCTGGCAAAGACATCACTAGATCTGTAATAAAATCCATTGAAACAGACAAGTAAAATGACTCTGAACAGCTGGTTGAGATTTTCTGTGGTTCATTCAAGAAAGTTTCGGCTTTGACAAATGCAGTGACTCCAAGCAAAAACAGTGGGAAAATTTTTTAAATCAAAACAGGCTCTCTGAACGCCTTTTTTTAAAATCAATTAACGCATTGTAGTCTTAGTTAAAAGGACAAATGAAAAATAAAATATTTTGACCTACAACATGTTGCGTTTAATCGGTTTCTGGGTCAGTTGGCACTTTTTTGTTTGTTGTTGGAGGGTTTAAGAGGGAAGAAAAGACACCCACACAACTGGGGCGTAAAAGATTTTTCAGAAATTCTCAACTACGGAGAAACAATTTCCCTCCCGAGGCGCAGTTTTAAATAATCTCAGGTTTTTTAATGACTCGCCTTATAGAGCCCAAATCCCGGGTCCGTCCAGTCCGGCTGCGCCGCGGTGCTCGGCTGTCCCTCCAGTTCCATCGCACCTTCTCCATTGTGAGAGCTTTTGTCGGATTCGCTTTGGCCTGAGCCACAGCCAGAGTCTGTGTCGGAGAGTTCAGAATCCTTCTCCTTGCTAACAGCAGGAAGCACTGCTGGGCTTTGTCTGACCAAGAGTTGAACAATATCATTCAGTCCGACGCTGTAATCGAAAAGGGAGTGACCATCTTCCATCTACAGGGAAAGCATCGCAACAATCGGGTTATTTCATCCAACGGAGGTTTGCCAACTCAAAACCACCCATCGTGCTGTAATTGTCTCTATGCGCCAAGAAAGACCACGTTGCTTGAAAACCGTGAACCACCAAGGAACTTGGCAGTTCTTCTGCAGCAGTTACTTAGAGACTGTTATTTTTACTATTTAAAATGTTCTTTTTCCAACGGACTCTACAAGCTAGAAGAACAAGACTTCCATGCTGCGGTAGGCTCGTTACCCCGATTAAGCCACAGCATTCTAGGAGATCTGAAGAGGTTTGCAATACACTCCCTAGAAATATCGATTCTGGGAAGAAGGGCTTAAAGAACCACAGATTCCCTACAGTCCTATCAGGATTTAAAGATAATTCCACATTACTTGCAAACTCAAAAGTTCTTTTTTCCTTAACCCAGACACATCCCGTAACACAAACATTAATACAAATTGGTCTTTATCTTGCAATCGTGTAAGTTCCAGATTGTTGTCACAGCATCGCTGCGTTACGTGTGGGATATGTAGAAGCCAAAGAGTTAATCACCTACTTTTCTCTGGGCCAGCACACAATTTTTCCATTGAAAGTCAAATCAAAAAAGATTCAATTCAACTTGAAACTACCCAATCACTTTTCAGCATAGCCAGGCATGTCCTAATTTCACACCTTCTCTAATTTTAAGACCTTATTTTTGCAAGTCTGGCATAGTCAAATCAAGATCCTACTACCTCCGCAAAAGTAAGAGAGTTGGAGAGCCAAATAGGTCTCTCAATTACCCTTCAAGCACCCTGAGGAGCACTACCATTTTAGAGTTAAAATGTAAGAGCCGAGACCACAGCGCAGTTCAAAGTTTAGACAGGCTTCGCCACATATTTAAAGTCTGACTAAGAAATTATACAGGAAATGATCGTCCCCTTCCAGCCCAAAGCACCAGAAAAAGCAATCCCCAGAGCTTTGTTCTCTATCGGGGGAAACAGAGCAAAACCACAAAAATGTACACTTCACAGGAATCGCTATGATAATTCCATTCTGATTTATGGCATAAAATGGCGATGGAACAATCCCTGGAAATCTGACTGCACAGGAAGCGATCTGGACTTTTTCTGGTTTGGAGATGAAAACTCATCGAGGTACACAAGAACAAGTCAGAAATCGGTTGTTTCTTCTTAACAGAGCACCAGTATCACCGACACGGTGTCACCTCAGCAGCAGTTACCACCCGGGAACACGAGCGACAACAGGTGCCAACAGAAACGGAGAGAGAGCGAAAACCGACAGGACATGAAACCGCAGGGGTTCAAAGGACCGTCTGAACGGAGCGCCAGCACACGAGGACGTACCGCTAACAAAGGAGGTGGGTTTTCTAATTAACAAGCATTTTAACGTAATTTTAGAATTTTAACTAAGAAGAATTTTAACATTTCTAATCGTTCAAAGAGCCAGACAAAGCACAGACGAGCGCAGCAGGGGAACGATGACTAAGAGAGGTTAGATCACACTGGATAAGTGTATTTCTGTCTAAAACCACGCCTAAGCTAAGAACTACTGGAACTACACAAAGAGGAATCGTCTTTGTAAGGCAAGTGCCTCCTACTGAAAAAGTTACAACTTCTGAAAATCTGTTCAACCTCAGTTCTCTGCACAGGCTTCAGCGCAGGGCTGACAGTTGGTGGGTACCCTGGACCAATCCTCCTTTATCACTTTATCTACAACCACAAATGGGCAATTACCACACCCAAATCCCCACAAACGAGGTGACACAAGCCCTTCAGGGATGCTACATACTCCAAGCCTCTTCTTTTTACTACCGTTGGTACCCGAGCTTGTTAAAGCTGGTCCAGGTGTATTTCCATATCCTACAGTCACACCTGCTAATTATAATGCACAGCTAGCTCTAGCCGTCCTAAAATGGAGGGAAAGGGGAAAAAAAGCGACTAGAAGAAACGTCTAACTCCACCCATCTCCCAGCGTTCCAACACAGCGCAAAGCACCCCGCTATTTCTGAAATTCATTTCTTTGAGCAACCAACCACTGGTTCAGAAGTTCCTTTTGCATGAAGGCTTAGCAGTGCAGGGGAGGGAGAAAGCATTCGAAAACGGTTTCAGTTGTCTTTAATACTAATTTACATCCGTTATTAACTTATGTGGAAGAAAATAGTTGCACAGTCGTAAAACATACTGTCCAGAGTATCGAGCCACTCGCGATTTTACAGCGAGTTCTGTACCTAATGAAATTTTGACATAAAAGCAGACCAACTTAAAAATGACGAGTTGCTCTCCAAATTTACAAAGAAAACTGGGAAAGGAGATCTTTACAGCTTTCAGAGCTTGCAAGGCTCAACAACTTGGAAGACCACGAAACCTCTAGCAATAGCTGTATTTTCAGAGACTTGGCAAAGGCGCTGTCAAGACAGAAAAGCAAGCCGCTAGGCGAAAAATAATAAGGAGAAAATAAACCCCTTTGCAATTAAAAGCTCGGTATCTTGCTGACTCCTCTCCTTGCAGACCCGCGGCGCGGAAGGGAGCCCCGGGAGTCACTAGATGGCAGCAAAAGCCCCCACTTTCACGTAATTAAAACAAAAATAAATTAAAATCTCCCTCCCCAGCTGG